AAAAAAAACTGGTGACACCGATAAATGATCTGTGAGCAACACTTTAAGGGCAGCTGGGAGCAAACCTGGTTTCCTCTTCCCTTCGCTGTCACCCTGGAATAGTCACAATGTTTCACCGATTGTGTTTTGGGTTTTGATAAATACGCATTCTTTTCTTCAGAATGGACCAGTGTCAGTGCGTGATTCTTCTCTATTTGAAACGTGGCGTGTCCTGGTTCTCCGTGTCGACTGTGTGTCTGGCTTCTGATGACCCGTGAAACGCTGCCTGCCAGTGTTTTCGGAATTTTGACAAAGTGGATACAATTTTCCTTGAGCCAGCGCGCCCTCTCTCTCCAGATGGTTTCAGTGATATCATGTACATTTTCAGTTTTTAATTTCCTTCCCAGTCTTGATGGTTAAATTCTTCATATCCCACAGTCAGCAACTCAGAATTTTTTTTCCTGGTTACCTGGAAGAAAAATCATTTTAAGAGCTTAAGAAATACCATCCAAGGTCAAATCAGTGATTCATCCCAAAGTTAATTTTACTGATGGAGAGAGAATATGCTTGCCATTTACCATATCTTTTTTGAAAGGTTGAAGATGCCCCCCCAAATATTCCTGACTTTTTAACCTACTAGGAATATATTCCATCTCTTCTTAAACTGATTTAGATTCTCAGGGGTAGCAAATAGTTTGTGAGTTAAGCTCACCACGTTCCCTTCCAACCACAGCATACATTATTATTCCACGTTGCAGCTTCATAGAATTTTGGTTCTTAATTCTACCTGCACTTCAGGATTTAGTGGGCGTTTGCTTCATCCTGGCCACCTTGTTACTATCAGATCCTGTGTCCCATTGTCGTTTACGGCTTAAGCCTGAACTTTTTCTGGCTTTCCAACTTTCTCTGTTTCAGGAAGTCAGAATGGTTCACGTTATTCCCGTGTGCACTTGGGAAGTGGTATGATGATAGCATTTGGTGTGACTGCCTCAGTATCCCTCTTGACTATATATTGACCGGAATAACTTGTTTCAAGTGCAAGCTTTGGCGTGTTTCCATCTAACCCTATAGATTTCAGGTAGAGTGCACACTGGTTGATGATCACTCCTTATTAACCACCAAAGACTAGGAATAATTTTTGAAACTATGTGATTTCAGGCTAAAAATTACCCAAGGTATTTTCCCAAAAGTCATTTTGGAAAAACTCGGTGTAGGCTATATTTAACCTGGTTATAGAATTATTTCCCTTTGTAAGATATAAATTTTTAGTAAAATAAGTTGATGAATGGATGAGTAGTTTAAAAGAGGTACTTAGGACACTGGAAGGAACATTTATCAGAGGGTGAATTTTTAGGAATTTTTTTAAGTTACTCATCCACAAATCATTTCTTCTATATATTTTTCTACATAGCTGATTATTTGCCTTAGCTGATTATTTGAAATAAAAAGAAGACATTTTACAAAAATATAAATAAAATGATTCAGCTCCAGGAATATAAATTATGAAAATTTCAAGCATGTTGAAATGCATTAATAAATCACTTGTATATTTTTATAAGAAAAGGTTAAGAAATTATACTTGGATTTTTTCTGTTACTCTATTGTTTTGTCTACACATTTCAGTTAATGCCAATCTCTGTGTCTACCCTTCTTGCACCAGGAAATGCCTTTTCTCCCCTGAAAATACTAAATTAGGAAGTCTGGCAAATAAAGGAAAAGTACTTTTACTTATCTCTATTTAAAACAAGAGTCAGGCTCAGAAATGTTTTAATTTCCTTCAAAGTTCAGTAATTAAAATCAACATTAAAACTATGACTTTACCTTGTTATTTTGTTGAGGTTGGAACTTTTTATCACTAGTTTTGTGTGCTTGATTTTTAGAATGACCTGATGACCTATAAAAAGAAAGCAAAAACACAATATTCTCTTTCCTGGGCTTATCAACATTAACAGCAACTATGACTTCCTACTATTTTTGTTCGAAAATGATTATGATGAGTGAAAACGGGTTAACATATTTTGCCAGTGCCTTTGTTGGAGTTGGAGGAAGTATGCTTTCCCCACCCCGCTGAGCTTTGCCATCCAGTTGGCTTGTTGTTTCTTAGGCAGTGGTCTCAGGACTGAAGAAAAGCTCATGGGAAAGATGAACGATAAGTTCATCTTGCAAAAAATGGGGTTATTTTTCAAGTCAATTCTGAATTGTGGTTACTGAAAAACAACTCTGTAATAACACTTTGTTCTTGCAATTCTAAAATGTATTTTAAAATTTGATGCATATCGCTCCAGACTTCTCTATATACATGTTATATCATTACTGAGGACAGTGTGTACACATTTGGCACCTTACTTTTTTACTCTCTGCATTATGAAATGGGTATAATATTTGGAGGATACTTCCTGACATATGTTCCCTTATCGGTAAACTGTTTTCTGTCCTCCAACATTCTGCCCATAATAGCCGCAGGGGAAGGGGGGAGGTGGGCACCACTGCAGGAAGGAGGGACACTCTTATCTTGGCCCCAGTGCCTGATGGAAGAAGGCAGACGAGAGGAGGGGGGCTTAGTTCCCCGAGGTTGAGTAACAAGGTCCTTGTTCCTCCTACCACCAGCCAAGGCAGCATTTTTGGTTCAGCGTGTCCTGGTTGGGCGATTTGGAGGCTTTGAGACAACCAGGGGACAGGCAGATGCCGGGGTCAGAACTGAGAGATCCCAGGTGAGGAGACTGGGAACAGAAACTTTCCAAAGGACCGGGTGAGGCAAAGGGTGCCCCCCCCCCAGTGCATACAGACACCACACAACTGAGAAGAGGAGGGGAG